ACAAAATTGTAACTTAATTTGTCAAGGAAGGTCAGAAGAACTGATCAAACTATAATTATAAATAAAGTAACGTAGTAGGACCAGCTCATTTTGAAGCAAGAAGATGAAATATTGTGGATTTTGAAGATACAGTCTAAATATTACAATAATAGTATTTACATAAATAATCAGTTAAGATATCTGTGACCTGAAAAGCATCTTCAGCGTTGTACAGAGTTGTGCTTTCTGGACAAGGACAAAGCAGAGAAGATAAGGAGTGGAAGGAACTTAAACACTTAAAAAAATCTTATTTTGTCTGTGGGGTCAAATTTGTAATGAAAAAGCAAAATCATAGAAATAGACAACTCTAAATTGGAAGAAAATACTGCATATAAACTTGGTCTTAGAAATTCCTAATCAAAGACTATTACAAAAAAAATTAAATTAATGAAAACTAACTTGCAGTCAGGATAAAATTTAAAATTGAAAAACCCATAATGGTTATGATTAGTATTCTATTATTATGGCAAACATGAAACATTAAATACTTACCATATTTTCTGGGCATTTTTCACACGTAACAGAGAACCCATCATTACTAGAAACCATCCTGTATCCTGGCTCACATTCACAGGAACTACCTGAAGAAAAAAAACCAAATGCACTTTTAATCTACATAGAACTGACTGATTGTAACAGAATACTAGGAACAATTACTATTGTTCTCAAGAGATCAAAATGGATTATTAGATAGACACAAAACATAAAACACTTGAGTGAGATGTGAATGAAATTCATGCTTTTTAAAAAATGCCCATGTTACAGTTTGCACACAGATGTCTTAGGAGAATGTTACAAGGCTGACTGATCCACCAGGGTGGAACAGGGACCCAGAGCATGTATTTTGTGGGGTTTTTAATGAAACCAAATTTTACCAGTTGGTCTGTAATAGATATAATCTCTCCATCTAAATCTTGCCACAGCCTTTCCTCTCTACAACACCAGCATTATATGTTTGTATACAGGTCTTATTTTTTCAATCTGAAGTCAGTCCTAAAACCAAAATGTGTTCCTATTAAAAGGTTTTTCAAAATATAACTGTTGTATGAAAAGCTGTTTTAAACTCAAGGCTTTTAAAACTGTGCATGGGGATCAAGGTTTATATTGAATGGTTTTCAGTGAGTGAACACAACATACTTTTAACACTTTGTATGAAATTAAACACTATTTTCATGGCATAGGATAATGCCCACCTGCTAGCGCTCAACAACTATTTCTTTAGAAACTGTTCCTGTCTCAGTGTCATGAATTTCTCTCTCTACTTTTAAAGACATACCACAAACTGAAACTGATTATATCTACTAATAAACTGTTTTTATCATTTAAGCTTACTGACCTGTGCAGGCAAAAATAATGCCAAATTCTGTGGTAAGTTTTATAACTTTAAATGAGACCAGCCGTACAGAAACGTTTGTCAAAGTGATCAAACATTTCTACTTGATTCTAAAGAAGAAAAAGCCCAATTGATTAGATCAATGAAAAGTTTGAGTTGTGACACTCACAGTGACAATATCTAGATTTTTAGGCATGCCACCCTAAAGCAGAATCCAGGCTGATGAGCTAGCCAAGGAATGTAAGGGCAATGACAACTGGAATTCAGCCAAGATGCAAACAGCACTGAGCAGTACCTGCCTACACTGCTCCAGTCAGATCTGCAGGAAAAAATAAACCCTTGACCTCCCCTTGGAATTTTCCTCTCCTTGAAGCCCTTTATTTAGAGGAAGATTCAGCCTAAAAAGGAGCTATGGATCTAGACACCCACATTATCAGGAGATCTGAAAACAAATGGTGTATTTTTTGCAATAAGTGAACTGTGGGATTGGTCTTTAGGGCAGCATGGTGGTGGTGGAGAAGGTGTGGACAGAGCCCTCCACCTCACTGCTTCCCACCGCAGTACCAGCTCCGGAGAGAGATGTTCCTGGGTCTTAGTCTCAAATCACACACACCAGGGAACTCCCACTCTTGTTGCACTGTGTATTTTATGAAAGATGAACCCTCTAATGCCTCTTTATGCCCTAGAGAAAGCAGCCTGCGATCTGTGTTTTCCATTTAGTCTGTCAGGCTGTGCTGTATCTGCTGCCAGCTCCCGTGTGGGACCTGGACGAGCACGGGCACAGCCTGAGGATCTGGCACTTGGCATCCCAGACGTTCAGCTCTGACTAGGAGTTTCTAGTTACAGAAGTGCTCGAGAAGGTAAATTCAGGGTCCTGTAGAATTTTACAGGTGAAAATGCAGATACAATATAATGCTTGAGGTAAAAAAGGTTACAGGAAAAGGCTGAACGTCATTTCTCTGAGCAGTATCTCAGATACATCAGAGCTGTGCTGGGGCCCCTCAGGTCTTGGCGGGATGCTGGCCCTGCCGCGGCTCTCCCAGAGCCGTGCCAGGCTGTGGCTGTTTTGCCCGAGCCCCGCCTGCGCAGCTCCCGCGGATTCAGCGCGGAGCCGCCCGAGCCCCGCCTCCCGCATGGCTCACCGCCGGCGCTCTGCCGCTGGTGGGCCCCGCAGGGCGCGCAGGCCAGGCGGGAGCTGTCGAAGTAGAGGTCGGGGCCGCAGTCGGCGGGGCGCTGGAGCGGCAGGGAGAAGCCGCGGGCGCGGGGCAGCGCCGCCGACAGCGCCACGAGCAGCGCGGCAACAGCTGGAAAGGACCACAGCGGGTCACCTGGTGCAACCTCCCTGCTCACACAGCACCATCCCAGAGCCCATGGCACAGCACTGCGACCAGAGAGTTCTTGAATATCTCCAGTGAGACTCCACAGCCTCTCTGAGCAGCCTGTTCCAGGGCACCTGCACAGTAAAGATCTTCATGCTCAGGTGCAATTTTCTGTCCATGTTTCTGCCTGTTGCCTTTTGTCTCATTCCCTCAGGTGTTACGAAAACTTTGCAAGACGCTCTGTCCTGGATTTTAGTTATTTCTCATTGTCCCTCTCCTGCGTGCTAATTGCCTATTATGATTTTCTACATTAGCATGTTTTATTTCTCATTGGATTTATGTGGTTGGCTCAACAACTATTAAAAGGTTGAGTTTATGTTTTCAAGTCGAATTACCTGCCTCCAGGCTCACGTTCATGTAAATTCAACCGTGTAAAGATGTAACTTTTTACCGGTGTGCTTGATTTGTGGAAACCTCCACCCTCGCACCCCGCACAGAATAAACAATGTCTTTTTTTCTAAACAAGACTCTATCTGTGTTGAGAGAGCTCCTAAAGCCGGCAACATTGCTAGGTGAATCTACTATAATAGTACAGGCGGTTTTTTTCCTGCCTAAAATGGAGCAGAGAAGTACTGGACAATGGATTAAAAGACAGGGGAAAACACGTAAGGTCAGGGAAGGCAGGTAGGATAAACGTTAGGATATATATATCTCGCTTGCACAACCGAAGTACTTCCTCTTTGCCCTTCCCTTTACTTAATTTTGAACCCTTCCTTCTTCTCACATAAGCCGTGCCAGGTTTATGGGACACGCAGCGGGGAGCGGCGCCTGAGGCTGAGCAAGAGCACGGCAGCGACGGCACCGAGCCTGAGCACAGCCCATCAGCACACAGCCACAGCCACAGCCACAGTCACACCGCTCTGTCCCCGCACAGCCCATCAGCACACAGCCACAGCCACAGTCACACCGCTCTGTCCCTGCACAGCCCAGCAGCACACAGTCACACCGCTCTGTCCCCGCACAGCCCAGCAGCACACAGTCACACCGCTCTGTCCCTGCACAGCCCAGCAGCACACAGTCACACCGATCTGTCCCCGCACAGCTCCCTCAGGTCGCCTCAGACGGGAACTACGCACGCGCACTGACTGCGGCGAGGCTTTCACCCGCGCGCCGACGGGGCGCGCGGTCTGCGCACGCGCACTGCAGCGGAGGGGGCGGAGTCGCCCCGCCCGGAGGGTGCGCGCGCAGGTCGGCGCTCGCGCAGCGCAGCTTCCCCTCAGCGTTGGGGGGGGGCAGTGGAGGCGGCGCCATCTTGGCGGAGCCGTGCCGGGAGCTGCGGCGCTCGTCCGAGCGGCGTGTCCGGTGGGTGCGTGGATGGATGGCGTGAGGGACACGGCACGCCTCTCCGGGGTGCGGCGTGTGGCCGAGGGCGGCGCGGAGCCGGCCGGTTCTCGGTTACCCGACCCTCGCGGAACCGCTGCGCGGCCGCTCCGTGTGCCCCGGCCTTCTCGTATCCCTGGGCTTCCCACCCCACTTCCCCGCTCCCGGTGCTTCCCTCAGCTCTGTCCCGGTGTCGGGAAGCAGACGGGCTTCTCGGTGGGGGCGCAGCAGCGGCGGCCTCCCCTCGCCCCGGCCCCTGGCCCTGCCCTGCCCGCGGCGGGTCTGCAGCAGCGCTGGGGCCGGCGGGGCGACGTGCGACATTCCCGTGCTCCGGGAAGCGGTTCCGTGCTACATTCGACCATGTAGCGGGCCCAGCTGCAGAGCTCACTCGTTTTCCTTCAGCACTGTGCAAACTGCTATTCGCAGCAGCCTGCTTCCTCTGTTAAGGCTTATTTTTATTCTATACTGGTTCAGTTTCGTAGACGGGGTGTTTCTGTGGGTGTTCTTTCTAGCTTGCAGTCTGTCTAATCTTTCAGTGTTATGATAAAAATCCTAGTCTAGTGCAGACTTAGTTTCCTACCGCGTTTACAAGCTGTGGATTATTTTAATGGCTTTAATGTTTGGAATTTCCTGAGACTGGAAGAATAGGTATTGTACTGTTTTCTAGCCAGTTTTGCTCATATATAAACATAAAATTGTACACTTCTGTGCTTTTAAGCTGTGGCATGAAGTTGTTTATTCTCCAAATCCTTGCTCTCTGAAGTCCTTGTTCAGTTAATGAATTGCTCTTACTTTTCATGACAAGTCAACTCTTTTTGGTTATGCACTTTAAATTTGGACGGCTTGTCTGTGCTTTCTACCCACGTGTGATGGTTTACTATACAGTAAGAGCTGTTATTTGAACTTGCATTTGTTTATGGACTTCTTAGAGACCCTGTTATGTTCTGGAACCACTGGTCTGGTTTTCACCACTGAAGGTTGTGTATTGTATCCCTGGTGCATCCTGGAGAACTTGCTGTTTACCACCGAAGAATTATGGAGGAGAGCTGTTGTGAATGATGTTTAAAAATTGGGATAAAAGAGCGGAGTTGTGAATCCAGAAGTACTACAGATTAAATACATCATGAAGTAGCAGGGCAGCGGATTTGCTTTTTCAAGACATGAAGGTGCTGTATGAAAATTCTGCCCTTGAACTCTCCATGCTTTTTGGCACTGTCATTGCATCTGTTGAGAAGACACGTTGTAAAGTGTTCTGGGTCTGGCTGGGATGGAGTTAACGTTCTTCACAGCAGCCCATACAGTTGAGTTTGGATTTGTGGCTAAAAGAATGTTGACAACACATCGGTGTTTTGGCTGTGGCCGAACAGCACTTGCACAGTATCAAGGCTTTGTCAATTTTCCCTACTCTGTTCCTACAGTGAGTGTGCTCAGAGTAGGTGAGAAGCTGGGAGGGAACATGGCTGGGACAGCTGACCCAAACTCACCAAAGGAAGGGATATTCTCTGACATGTAACATCATGCTGGGCAACAAAGACTGAGGTAGAGGAAGAAGTACTTTAATGGTTTTGGTTTCTTTGGGAGGACTTTTTCTTGGTTCCCAAGGCAGTTGTTATTTGGAAGGCTGGACATCAGTCAGCCTGTGGGAGGTGGTGAGTGATTTCCTTTGTTTTGTGTTTTTCTTTCAGTGATGAAACTGTCTTTGTCTTGACCCACAAGTTTTCTTGACTTTGTTTTTTCCCACTGATGGGGACGAGGAGTGCACAATCAGCTGTGTGGGTGCCTGGCTGCTGCCTGGGGTCGACTCACCACAAAAGTACAGAGAACAGATGGTCTTTAGTGAAGTTTCTAAATGGGCAGTTGTTTTCTGTGTGTTGTGCTTGTGGAGTACTGGTGCAGAAGTGACATGGACTCCGTTGGTGACAGAATTTGGGCTTTGCTCTTGTTCAAGTGGAGTGACAGTAATGGTTATTGGTAGGTAACTCGTCATCAGGATCTAGTGCTTTACAGAGCAAGGGTTGTTGAAGGAGTGTTTGCAAATGCTTGGAGCATTGGGCTGTTGTGTTTGTTTTAAAGGGATGCCGTCATTTGCTACAGAGGCTTGTGTTTGTTCTGAGAATATTGTGTGATGTTAGAAAATGTTGAAAATCAGGGTGTGTTAAGTCAGTGTATTCAAGGTTTTCTTGTTCTTACGTTTGAAAGGTAGGAGAGTAAGGATTTAGGGAAAATGCTGAAGTTGGCTTTGTAAATTCAGGTACTTTCTGAGGTTTCTTCGTGTTGGATATTTTTGCTCTTTGATGATGGGCTTCACTGTGTATGTTAAGTGCAGTGTGCTGGATTGGTGAGTAGCCTACTCGTGTGAAGTTTGAAACCAGGTGGATTTCAGAAGAATGGACATTGTGTAATCCTGAGATGGACCTAAGCACCTTTCAAGAACTCAGCTGAGAACTGTTCCCTCGATACACTGTCAGTCTGTTTCATTGCATCAGTTCAGTGTGGCACAATCGCTGACCAAGTAATCTCATCGTATTTTCATCATTTCCAGAAGTCAACTTAAATTTTGAATTTCTTTTGCTTCTAAAATGGAAACAGAAAGATGCAGTGCATGGCATCTTGGAACATGGAAGGAGTTCTTCGCGTGGGTTCATAACATGCTTGGCTTTAGTATTAGCCACTGCTATGGATGGGCTGCAGCAGTGTAGCACAGTGTGTAAAGCAAAGTACAGGTATCAGACATTAATTATGTTTCATTTTCTTTCCACAGTTAAGTTGATTTTACAGAATTTATCAGGTCTCCAAAGCAGAAACAGGTAAGCTGTCAAAAGCTTAACACTTCTCACTGAGTATTGTGACAAGATCATACACAGCCTTTTTTCCTCACAGACTTGTGGCTGGCAACTAGGATATGCTTGTGGCCACTGCAGTTAATACTCTGACTACACCAAAGAGGCAACATTTTTGAATGCTGAGAAAACATACATTATTGAACAGAACTGATCACTGGGTAGAGCAACTTGTCAGAGCAGTAAAGTCATCACTGTTTGTGAGTTACTTCATTTTCCAGTGGCATAGTTATTCTTTTTCCTTTCTCCTTTTATCAGTTAGTGTCCTGTTCAAAAGTAAACCGGATTTTTTTTGTTCCTTAGGAGTGGGCAGAGGTCTCTGGCACATAGTAACTATGCCGTGAAAGACTTGAGGTGCTCTGTAGGTATTGTGGATGGTGAGGAGTGACTTAGGTGGATTTGTTGCCCTTAGGGTAGGGAATATTGATAGATTTGTGCACGAGTGCCGGTGGAGTAGCTAATTGTTCTGACTAATCAACATTCAGTGAATTGTTTTAATCTTGTCTCGTGAACTTGTGGGTTTTTTGATACCTTCTCTCTTGATGAGACAAGGGCATTCATTAAAAAGGCTCTAGCTTCTTAAGTGATAAGATACTGTAATAGCTGAGTACTAAAGACGTGCTATCATGTGTACCTTTTTGTCTGCAGGTGATTTTTGCTGTGGGTTGAGCTCAGCATGGCTGTAGTCATCCGTTTACAGGGGCTTCCTGTTGTTGCGGGTCCTCCAGATATTCGTCGTTTCTTCTTGGGATTGAATATTCCCGATGGAGGTGTGCATATTATTGGAGGAGAGATTGGGGAGGCTTTTATTATATTTGCAACAGATGAAGATGCACGGCGTGCCATGAGCTGTTCGGGAGGGTTTATCAAGGACTCGCGCATAGAGCTCTTTCTCAGCAGCAAGGCAGAGATGCAGAGTACCATAGAAATGAGCCGGAAGCGATTTGACCGTGGGGGACGAGAAACTATGTCTGGCTCTAGAAGAACAGGTACTAATGGTTCTAGTACATCAAGTGTTGGAGATATACCACATTTAGTTACAGCTTCTCCAAAAGGAATAAGAAAACCTAGTTATGGGCCACCTAATCGCCTGGAGGCTGGTTTCCACACCAACGGCACAAGATATGGTGATGTGGGTATGCCTAAGTCAAACTACCAGTTAAGAAAGGATTCCCACCCGTTTAACCTGGATGATCGTTACTTATTTCTTCGTGGTATACCTTACTCTGCAACAGAAGTTGAAGTACGTGCTTTCCTTTCGGGGATACGCGTGGATGGAGTGATTCTGATAAAGCACCGCAATGGTTTAAACAATGGTGATTGCTTGGTAAAATGTGCTACACCTGGTGATGCCTTAGAAGGACTTAAACGCCATAGACAATACATGGGTCAGAGGTTCATAGAAATTAGTCCCACTACAGAGGAACGGTGGATTGAATGCGGTGGGCGGATAGACATGCCAGATGAAATGGATCACTTTTTGTGTGAAGACCATTCTCCAAGAAGTTCAGGCTACATGCATTCAAGGAAGCATTCTCGTTCAAGATCACCGAGGAGACAAAGAACACATTCTCGCTCATCTCCTGGCCAGGAATATTACATACACTTAAGAAATCTATCTTTTAATGTGGAAAAGAGAGATTTGAGAGATTTTTTTCCTGAACTGGATATACACAGCAAACAGATCAAGATTCTAACAGATAAGCATCAGAAAAGGACTAGAGATGCTTTTGTGGTGTTAAGGAGTGAGAGAGAATATCAGGCTGCTTTGGAATGTCATAGAAAGGTTCTTCTCAATCGTCCTGTGTACATTTTTCCAATTTCAAGAAAGTCAATGTTGAAAATAATTGACTCTTGTGAGAGGAAAAGATCACCGGACAGAGATCATTTTGGACAGGCCATATCAGAAAAAAGTTACCGGGAAGGTCATTCCAGCCCTAAGAATTGTGTTTATGTAAGGAATTTTCCATTTGATGTGTCAAAAATTGAAGTCCAGAAGTTCTTCTCAAGATTTGATATTGATGAAGATGATATTTACTTGCTCTATGATGAAAAAGGAGTGGGACTGGGAGAAGCACTAGTGAAGTTTAAATCCGAAGAACAAGCTATGAAAGCAGAAAATTTAAACCGTCAGACATTTTTGGGAACAGAAGTCTTAATAAGACTTATATCTCAAGATCAGATGCAGAAGTTTGGTGTCGCTGCATCATTATCTGCACCAAATGAAATGCGTGGTCATTCACATCCGTATGACAGAGGTGACCTCTCCCGTCCAGTTGGTTCACCATCTGGGCCACCACAAGGGCCACCCACGCATTCTTTTGGTCCCCCTGGGAACTTCAGGCATCATTCTGAATTTAGACATCCCCCTGAGGAGTTCATGTGCCCTCCTAAGGATTTTAGGGGTCCACCACCCCTCATGGATTTTGGTGGTGACAGTGAACCTTTTGGCAGAATGGAGTTTGGGAATAATAAAATGGGAAATTTTCCTGAAGGAAGATTTATGCCAGATCCAAATTTCAGTGGCGGTTCTGAACGTGTTGTTCCTATTCTGTTGAAAAATTTACCTTTTAAAGCTACTCCTAATGAGATTCTGGATTTTTTCTATGGTTATAGAGTGATACCAGAGTCAGTTTCTGTGCAGTATAATGAACAAGGATTACCTTCTGGTGATGCCATTGTTGCTATGACAAACTATGAGGAAGCTATGGCTGCTATTAATGAACTGAATGATAGGCCCATTGGTCCACGGAAAGTTAAGTTAAGTTTGCTGTAAAGGAGGAAAAGATGCTCTAATAACACATTCTAGGTTTGACAGTATTGACAGTTACTTTAACTTTTAATTACTGGAAGATGCAAAACAAAGTTTCCATCAACGGTTGTAAATAATACCCAGTTCAGTTGTTTAGCTCTTGGTTGAAATACCTGTAGGACATTGAATGTCATACATCAAGGTATAAAAGGATGGAGTTGTAATGCTTTGGGTTTTTTTTTGTTTTTTTTTTTAAGATTAATTCCAGTCTTATGTGTTTGCATCAAATAAAAACGTAAGTGCTGGCTGACCAGCACAAACAGTTAGCTGACCACACAAACGGTTCAAATAGAAGATTTTCAGTGCTACCTGCATTAGTAAATGACACTTCTTACTGAGGTTAGCTTAATAAAATTTTGAAATTACTGATTTTTTTTTTGTTTCCTTTTGTGTAACCTTTTCAGGTTTTATTCGGTTTCATATGTTTGCAGGCATTCCTGTTGAAGAGCTGCTGTTCTCATTAGCTGGCTTTGCAACTTTTTTAAAATAAAAAGGAAATTGCCATTTAAATGTGTGTCTTATCTTTAAAACTTGTATAGTTAATGATCTCAATTATTATGCTCTGCAGATATGGGACTTGGTGAGAAAGATGCTGGCTGCTTCATCTGGAAAGAGTGAACTGGTAGTTTGTCAACACAGCAAAGGATGGGTAGCTGACAGAGATTGCAGGGGCTGTGTTCATCACTTAGGCTTTTTTCTCACTAGTACCTTGAGGCAGAAAATCAGTGCGACAGAGATTGCAGGGGCTGTGTTCATCACTTAGGCTTTTTTCTCACTGTAGTACCTTGAGGCAGAAAATCAATGTTGGAATTAGATCAAGAATTCTGACTTCAGTGGTTTTGTTTTATCTTCACATGCTGCGTAATATGAATACTAACTGGCTAATGTTGCCTGGATGCATTCCAGGTCAATCTGTGATTAGTTTTAACTAACATCTGTCACTGGCAACCAAGCTGACAACTGTTATTTTCTTACGTAATAAAAGAAATGCTTATGTCAGCATTTATAACTTGTTGTTTTCATCGGTTTGTTACCAGCATGTTTAAATTTTAGGAAGAAATAAAAGCTTGGAAAAGCTGTGTCTTCAAAATTAAGGCTTAGTAGGAAGCTTCTACTGTGTGGGCAAGGACTTTTATTGACATTACAACTGTGCAATACAGTATCTGTAGTACTAAAGGATTAAGTCTCAGTCCCCTCAAACTGAGACAAGAAAGTTGCACCCTGGCAGTGAAAACTTCTAATCTGTGCTAATCTGTGCTTGTTCAATAACCAGAATTCCTAAATTCATGGAGTAGGGAAGTCTCTATTCCAGTTCCCTCCTCTGAGCAAGTTTTGGCTCAAATGGGCTACTCAAGGCCTTGTCTATTGCCTCTGTTACAGCTTTAAGGACAGAGCTGTCCCAGCAGCCCTTCTGCTGAATGGTCCCACCTCACTGGTGGTCAAACCTTTATTACTTTATGTGAAGTCATCATTGTGGTTGCAGAACTTCCATGCCAACTGTTTGGTACAAGAAACCAAAAAGAATGAAATTTTTTGTTCTGTAATATTTAAAAGGTTAGTGTAGCTTTATTCTTCTGCACATTATTCTGTGTTTTAAGTACCAAGAAAAAAGCTTTTTGAATGTAATGCAAGGTTTGTTATATACAGATTCTTCTGAGCAAAGAAATGTAATGGCCAGGTTTTCAAATCTGAAAACATACTGATTTTTGTTTTCTGGTAGGAATTAGCTTCAGAATCCTTCTCTGAACTTAGAAGGAATTAAAGCCCAACAATTTTGTGCTTTATTTAACAGCTACTTTAAAAGAGATCAAGGAGCCAGAAGATGTTGCAGGAAAAATAAAGACATGAGAATTCTCAAAATAAACTTCCCTGACCATCATGTTGAAAACTTCATTGGGACTATTTTTATAAGCTAGTGTCTTTCCTACTAAGCTGTGTTGAAAATGTGAATACAACTAACTTCTCCAGTTAATCAGTTTTAGATGATTTGTTGATTTTAAAGTGCTTTTTGTTATTACCCAGTAGATTTCAAACTTGAAGGTTGGAAAGGTAAGAGAGTCTAGTAGGTTGCTTTGCCAGTAAAGTGTGAGATTATGTTTTAGAACAAGAAAATTATCTGTTTTCAGAAAAGGTTAGGAGTGATTGCAGATAAGATACCATTAGTTTTTCAGATGGTAAACTTCCCCCCCCCCCCAGTGAACATATAAAAAGTATTATAAAGCTTATAATGGCAGAGGTCATAATTAAGGCATTACAAAATGGGTCTTTTGTTTGCCCTGCAGCTGATTTGTATTTAATTTAAAGCAAGATTAGAGTTTATGACTACTTTAGGTTAATCTGAAGTGTCTGATTGATAGACAAAAAAAAAGAAAATTACTTTTTCACAGTCTGCATTTCCAAGTATGTACAGATGCACCAAAGCATAGGAAACTGGGAAGGGATGCCAGTACATCAGTTAAATAATAAGGTTCACAGGACAGCTGGTGCTTCGTTTATAGCTGTTATCTAGTTGGTGTTTTGGGTCTGTGTGTGTCTGTCAGCCTCTGTTCCCCCTGCCTCTCCAGACTGGGCATGATATTCTGATTCTGCCTCAATAGATGGTACACGTGCATGGTGTGATGGCAGCATTGCCTGATAACTGGGTGTTATAACATCAGATGTTTAGTGGTTTGGAGGCACTGTATTTCCAGTACCAAGGACAAGTCAGAGACTGCCTATAATTACATGGCTTGAAGTCCTGTGCTTCCTTTTTAAGTACCATCCATATCATAAGGAGTAACAAATGCTGCAGTTGGTGATGCTTATAGAAAACATGGGAAATTTCCTTCATTATGTCTTCTCTGAAATTGCTTTTGCTACCACTGTCCAAAATTTCTGGTGTAAAACAGTTTCAAAAGTCAAAAACTAGAAATAGTGATCACTTACGAAAGCAGCTTGAGGCATTTAGGGCAGGTCTAACAAAACAGTCTGAGACCCTTAATCCCTAAGGAATGTGCCAGTGTGTTCAGCAGAGAGGTAACACAGTCTAGGCAAGAATGGATCCAAGTCAGCATCATCTAGGTGCCAGTAATAAAAAATACAAATGAGTGAATGGAGTAACTGCAAGTCAGTCTTAAAGTATGCACTCGTACCATGAGAAAATTCTTTGCATAAAATCTAAAAAAGCATCTTTATGTAATATTTAATTCTTTACTAACATCCTAAATGGTTGTTCTGGCTTGTGCTTTTGGTGAAGTATTTAGTCAGGGTCTTTTCATCTGTAGTTTTGAGGTCACAATTTCTGTGCATCATGCAAAGTTAAGACATCACACATGCAGGATAAAGTTGCTCAGCACTGTACTTTTCTGGAAGTTTTTCTGTGATTCCTGGAGTTGACTTTCTTTTGTGATGCAGGGAGAATGAATTTTATGCTTGTGAACTGCATAATCTTTTAGAGGGCAATTAATCTAAACAAAACTGCCTTTTTTTCAGAATTGCTTTCTCAAGGCATAGTACACAAATATTTGCTGTTTGTATCTGTGTATATTATAGGAAAACCTGGAATTGTTACGAAGTTAGCCATCTGTTTTGGAGATGGACTACTTTGTTGTGTATGAAATAGTAAAGTGGTGATCACCAGAATTCTGATGTGATATTACTATTTATTGAAGTGCCTTAGTTGCTGAAATAGATGGGAATTAATATGTAGACAGTTTTAAAAGTTTTGCTCATTGGTGTTTACTCCTTGCCAGGAGTAATTCAATGTCAATGGTATGTAATGCTGGTGTAAAATTATTTTTTGGGTTTAAAATAACCCTATACTGTGAACTTGTAATTTATTTTCATCTCATTTATTTTTGGCAAAACCTGTTTTTTCACATGTCAAAACAGGTATGCATTGCATACTTTGCATCAGTGGACAAAAGTAGTATCAATATTATAAATGCACTTCCTGCTTTTTTTTCCTGTAACTGAAAGGGAGATTTTGTTATAACTCAAAATTGTTTTCCCAGTCACAAGTTTAAATTCTTCTGCATTTGTTCTTTAGCAGATACTAAAGCTGGAGGTGAACAGTGTGGTAGTAACTTTCTGGCAGACAAACATGCACTGTTAAAAAATGAATACATGTAACCTCTATCTCCAAACAGGATAAGAAGTTACACTCAAAATGTGTAATTTCTTGTATGTTTGATTCAGTAACTGAATAATGTAGCTAAACATGTGAAATTTGAACTATGTATAGCATGTCAATTAATATAATAAACATCATCTACATAAAATATCCACTAGTTTGATCATGAAGGCACTTTTATTTAAAAGCAAAGCAGCATTGAAAATAAGATACTGGGCCAGGTCCTTATGTGTGACTGTTCATTCTCTATGTGTAAAGGAATCAAAAGTCATCTGAACCTGGTGAAAGCCTGAGAAAAATGAAAAAAAAAAAGTACACCTCACCATGCCTTCTGCCATCCAGAGTGGATAGCAAAATGGAATCTTAACAGGTTGTTGCTGCAAACAGGTTCTTAATTACCACAGTTACTTTTACTTTAAAACAGTTACAGCTGGAGTACTTAAAAAATTCAAGAGGTGTATAGCCAGAGAGGTAATATATTGGCAAAGTAACAAGAAAACAATGTTCATAACTGCTTGAAAGCTTAGTGCAGTTTTTTGACACTGTTCATCATGTAAGTTTAAGCAAATGTGATTACAATATAACATCTATGCAAGTATAATACAGGCATCTATTTAAATATTTAATTTTCTAGCTACTGAAATTGCCTACTTTCAATGGATTGTGTTCCATCCTTTGAAAGCGGTCATTTATTGTCTGGCACTCTAAAATCAGTGCTGATTCTTGCTCCTGCTGGAATTCTAAATATGCACCCCCGTGAAATATTAGATCCAACATACAAAAGCCTTTAGGTAAAGGGGTTTTTTCCCCCCTTAATAAAAAACCCCCTCTTAGAGCAGTTTTGTTATCTCACTTCCTTAGTAGCATCAAATTCATCCTCCTCATCATCCTCTTCATCATCTTCATCTTCCTCCTCGTCCTCTTCTTCATCTTTTCTTAGCATTCTGCGGGAGATCTGATAAAACAAAAATCCAACCAAAGGGTATCAACTGTTTGTTTTCTGCAAACAAAAAATAATTCTCCATTGGTATTTTCAGCCTAAATGCAGGGTCTTCCTTTGGGGGTAGGGGGTAAGCTGTTTATTTATTAACTCTTCATAACATGCACACCAATGGAAAGATACATGACACAGAATAAAAATATAATGATTTTTAAAAGCAAAAAAAAATCCATGTAGTCCTTCAGAATTATAGGATAGGTAAAATGGTATTTTTTACCAAATTCATGCTAAAAATAAGATGCAAATCAGTTTTTTCTTGGGTTGGCTGCTGGAGCAGCAGGCTGAAGAGGAGTATTAGGGCCTAATCTTACCTTGAAGACATCAGACCTTGTCAGTTAAAAGCTCAAAGCGATGCTGCTTAAGCTTTTTACCTTTTTTTCCCCAATAATTAATTACACAAACTGAAGAGTCTTGAATCATAGACAAACTTCTTTCCCTGCCCATCAGAGCTTGCCTTTAGAGTAACTTCTTTTTTTGGTTCATCAAACATTAAAGACAAGTGTCAGCTGCCAGGCTTTCATCTCATTTGACAGATTCTGCAGCCTCTACTTTTTTTTAATGAGAGCTCAATCTAATTCCTGTTTAAGATAGATTCTTCCCAGACAATGCAACATTTACAATTTAAAGAAGGATACATGTATTTTTTTCCTTTCCCTGTAAGAAAGAGAACATTGAAGACACTTATCCAAGTCATCTGGAATGCTTTTGAAAAATTTCAGGTTCAGTAGTTCTCTAAGGGCATGTGCAGCTCTAATTTTTGTTATATTTTCTGTGTCTTCTCACATACAGTGATATAATAAAAACTTCTGTACTGAAGACAGAGCTTGCTTTTTCTTTTAAGCAGCCCCCTATTTTAAAGGTCCTTAAATGCTGATTATTAAATTGACTTCTGACATGTTATAATTCATACAGCCATGTATGTAATGTAAGATTTTGTGTGTGCATAAAGCAAACTGTAGTCATTGAACTTCTGAAAGAAGAAAAATCTTTAAGTCTTGTTCATGCTCACCAAGTACATAATTTAGCTTGAAGCAAAATAGTTGCTTACAAATTCCTGAACACAACAGAAAATGGAGTTAATCATTGGGCAAAGCTGGGTTAACTTGAGTTGAAATGTCTAAAGCAGCAATCTCTCATTCCATGAAAGAAAAAAAAGACAATAGCAGTTATTTGTAACTGGAGTTTAAGGAATGCTGCAGATTGAGCCTGTTAAGGAGAAATTAATTTCACTGGGACAGACTAATTTTTTAAGTTTTTTCCTAGTTCAGCATCTGAAATTCTTCAGTAGAACTTGTATCAGAGAAATTAATTTCACTGGGACAGACTAATTTTTTAAGTTTTTTCCTAGTTCAGAGCATCTGAAATTCTTCAGCAGAACTTGCATCGTATTTCTGAAGAAAAGCTCCCCCCTCCCTTTCCTGAAATAAGAACAATTTTGGCTTTATGGCTTTTTTCTGCTCACTACTCAAATAACTCTGACCATGCAGCAATTAACTAAATAGTATATTAAATGTTATCACTGCTGGTGGTAAGATGGCTATCCCTAAGAACCAAAGTGGATCAGGGAAGGAAGGTGAGAAAATAAATTATGCAATTTAAAGCCAAGTTATTATGCCAAAGAACTAAAATGTACCAGTATAAAAATTTAATTTTTCATAACTTAATGCAAAAAAAGAAAAATATGACAATTTTTTGACCATAAATAATTTTACGTAAAAATTAATGAGTTGCATGGAGGTCATGACAGTCCTTGTTTAAGCAGTTCAGCTCCACCTTTCACTGTAGATGCTACTTCAGAAACATGGCAATTCTCTCCACATCTTAGTGCTGGATCATTTGGATGCAGTCATTTTCAATAGTGGTTAAAATGATACTTTGCTGTCCTACAGAGTGTCAGTACAGAAGTTGGTTATATTTAATGGATGTAGGTAAAACTTGTGTAGTTGAATTTGATTTAAAATATCTGGAAAAGGTCATTCTGTTTTGCTATAGTTCCAAAATATAAGCTATACCAACCTGAATTGGTAAACCAAAACATTGAGGATAAACTGCCAAGTGAAGTGTCGTAAAATGAAGGACATAGCTCTCTGTGAGAAAATTAATCAAGATCAAGGAGTACTTTAGATTTTTAACATACAAATAATATAGAAACTTAGTCCACAGAGGCAGAAATAAATTCAAGGATGGTATGTGTTAAATCCTCTGAAAAGACCTGAATTGTGTTACTGGAACATTTTATTTCATCTGGTATGCAGTGACTGCCCACGCTGTCCCCCATGTACAGCCTAGTGTTGTGTGTCTGTCCTCCCCTGCCCCACAGACTTGGACTGTGTGATTCTGTGAACTGCTTCCCACATCATTTATACTGCTTTATACTGGAAATAGAAAAGTACTACATTACAGACAGTAAAGGACTACTGTGCAGCAGGACATGTGTCAAAAATTTCAGAGTGAAAGATCCACAGAAAAGATAAAACAAGTCACCTGCAGGTTTTTCTGAATACAGCATTTTTTTTCTCAAGAGCTGTTTGGTGGTTCCAAAGATTAGAGCCCTTAGTGTAATTCAGCACCATGCTATTTACAGAATCAGAAAGGGCTGCCCTTTCTTCACTGCCCTATGGTGACTGCATTAGTAGGGTGTTCCAGCCCTTTTTTCTGCCATGTGATCCTCCTCTGCAGACACACTGCAGCCAAGTAAGATGACCTTATTTTGAACTGCATTGCAGTTTTCCTCTAGGTCTAGATGACTTCCTGTTCTTTTCAGGCAAGTTAGAGGTTATAAGAACACTAACACCCAAAGTTAGAATTAAGAGCAGTCTAGGAAATGAGAAAGGTTGGTTAGTCAAAATGGAGTTGCACTCTACCTCTGGGAGAAATCACAGTGTACATAATCTCAGTTTTCTTGTTTTGTGTTTTTTTCTCTCACATTTTCTGAAGTGAATATGCTTGTGAATTCACACCCTGAAGTGAATTCAAGCTTTGGAATCTTGAATATGAAATTTGCTTGAGTGATAGAGGACTGGCAAATTCTCAGTGAAGGTAGTACTTCATGCACTGAATCACTAGGTTGTATCTCTTCAGATGACACAATTCGTGCTTTCAACAGAACAGCTCAACTGTAGTAATTGATGCTGTTCTGTATTGAGAGCAGAGAAGGTGTAAAGTGTGTACAAAGTCAAGAAAAGTATTCCTCACTACAATATCAATGCATGATTCTATTCAAAGAAGAAAGGTAAGATACATGCATTTTAAATGTGGCTTTGTCTTTAACTGAAACACTGGTAAGAATCATTGTAGTTACAGGATTTCAGTTGCAATGAATTAAAAATAATTTAGCCATTTTGCAATGTCTGCAAGTTTACTGCTGTAAACAAGTGGCAAAGATATTTGCAAGGTAGCTGGTCCAAAAAGAGTGGCAGTGTCTTCAACTGTTTCACTCTTTTTTATCATTCTTTTCCTCACCTGCTGTGAATTTTCAGAGAATAAATGAAGAAGTCTGTAGGTCATGAGTTTGCTCTGCTGCTAGAAGGTATCACTAGTCTGGATTAGGATCTGGTAGAGAGGTCACACTTTAGAATCTGAATACTAAGAATATGCAAGTATTCTAAGAATGTCGCTGCTCTTTCAAATAAGCTCCTAGATCTCTTCTCTGCAAGATGCCACAGTTGTTGATGGAAGACAAAGTATTGCTGGAAATGGCATTTGTCAAAAGTAAGCAACACAGCTTTAAAAGCTGAGGTTTTTTTCCCTTCATTCATAAAGCTGCATTATCAAGAGCCTATTATGATACTGATGCCATTGAAAGTTTCTTTACATTTCTGATGGTCCTGAATTCAAAGACAGTGGATCCATGTGCATTAGCTAAGTAGAGCTTTAATATAGTGCTTTAGTATGTAATTTTTTCTTACCTGTGCTGTTCTCAGTGAAGATTTTGAGGAGCCAGTTCTTTGCAAGGGGGACTTGGAATTTGCACGAACTATGTCTAAGCGAGACTGATAGTCTGGAGGATAAAGTGAGCTCCGAAAAACCTAATCAAATGGAGAAAGCTGTGACTTAGATGCTTGCAAGCTAAGAATCACCAAGACTGAAGCTTGCAGAAATGCAGCATTGGAGAATGAAACTTGATCTAGAGATGTGCATCAACTGTAGTTTGGACTGATCACTTTTAGCTGAAACAATGTCCTTGCTTAACCTGAGGCACATCAACATACTTATGTGGTCAAGGTAAACATTCTTCAGAGCTTTGGGGGCATTTACACAGGGAAAACTGCAATGGTTTCCCACCAACATATGTAGCTGAGTTTCAGGCTAAGATAGAAGTGTGAACCCCAGCAACTCCTTCAGGCTCTCCATTTCTTGCAGAGATGAACTCAACCCCTTCACAAGCAAATCCCTGCTGTCTGATACAACTGCATCAGAAAAATGTTATTTGAACTGTACAGAAAATGTACAACTCAAGAAAAATTTGGGAAGCCTCTTAGAATACAGGGGAGACCATGACATCCATTATATTTTCAAGTTATTTCAATACCAATACAGCTATTTGTGCAAGACTTTAAGTCAAGAAGATGGTATATTATGGTCAGTATTTTTAGGAAAAGTAAGTAATTGTCCAATTAACAGAAAATTTAAAATAAGATTCAAAATTTTGTTGTGAAAGACAAAGGACTGACTTTAAGGAGATTTCTGAATTGGTGCCATGTGCCATTATAATTGTGAAACTAAAATAGTACAAAATTGCCATGGCATAGTTTAAATGAAGTAAAATTACCAAGAAGTCTCAAATATGACTCACTGAAGACTCATGGTTTTTTAAGTCTTGCACTAACTTGGTTCTGAGCCATTTCAGAATATAGACAGAATAAAATTATGACTGGTGGGATTTACAAAAAAAGACTGAAAATGATCCAACTTTTTTGACAAACCAAACATACATACACAACACACACTTCCATGATATTAAGTTTAAAGACCCAACATCCAGAAGAACTGCAAGAATGAATAAAGGACTGAAAAGCCTATCTTGGGAAAGAGAGACCATAATTCAGAAAGAAAAGAAAGGGTGACTTGAAGCTGGTTACTGCCACAAGGCAAAAACCCCAATGTAGTAAATAACAAATGTCTCTTAATTCTGTAACAGCCTAATAAAAAAAAATGATTAAAAGATGAAAACAAACAAACAAAATTCAGGTTAGAGGGAGATCTTTAATGTAGTAGTTAGTCTTTACAACATCTTATCACAGCAGTATAAAATTTTTTCTACATTAATCTTTAGAGCAAGACACTGCAGAAGACACTTTAAAAACTGTTTTATGTTTAGCTGAGATTAGACTGGCAGGTAATTTTGTGAGTCTCTTTTCTGTGTTTTGTGGGAAAGATTAGATTGCCACTGCAGTTGCTGTCTGTGTTCTCTGAGATTACAAACCTGCATGCTCTTGCTGAAGAAGTGCAAAAAAAAAAGCTTGGTATATGTGAGTTTCTTCTGGGAACCTGAAATATTTGTTGCATTTTTTGCCTAATAAAAAAAAATGATTAAAAGATGAAAACAAACAAACAAAATTCAGGTTAGAGGGAGATCTTTAATGTAGTAGTTAGTCTTTACAACATCTTATCACAGCAGTATAAAATTTTTTCTACATTAATCTTTAGAGCAAGACACTGCAGAAGACACTTTAAAAACTGTTTTATGTTTAGCTGAGATTAGACTGGCAGGTAATTTTGTGAGTCTCTTTTCTGTGTTTTGTGGGAAAGATTAGATTGCCACTGCAGTTGCTCTCTCTGTTCTCTGAGATTACAAACCTGCATGCTCTTGCTGAAGAAGTGCAAAAAAAAAAGCTTGGTATATGTGAGTTTCCTGAAATATTTGTTGCATTTCTCTGTGTGGGACATGTGTAGCCCAATTGTGGAAACTGTTTTTATATAGGAAGTAAACAGAAAAGCAAATTTCAATCACTCTTACCTCCAAATCTTCATTTTCATCAATATTTTGGATATTCTGATAGGCAGCTGTATATATCTCTAAAGCTTTCCCATGGAACAACATTTCAATAGTTATAAATTCAGAAAATATATTCTGAAAGCAAATGAAAAGAAAGGTTTTCTTAATGCAGTATATTTTCACTTCAAAAAATTACTGTACTCTGTATTTGGTATTTATATGATATAAGTAACTGCATGATACTTAGTACTTTTAAATAGTCAGATTGGATGAATCTAAATTAATTTTAGACATGAAACATAAATTCTGGCTGGGCTATCACTTATGCAGTTATTATTTAATAATAAATTCTAAATAAATACTTCAAAAGCAAAGAGAAAATGTATTAGGAATAACATGTCTTACTGAAAAGCCATTTGATAATCTCCAATATGTATTCCTAAGATATTTCCAGTCAGAAGTTTTGATACTTTTATAGCAGGTTGAGGACAAGTTATCTGTAGATTCTATATCTATAATTTACAAATCTGTGAAATATTAATGAATACCATGAGATTTGCATTTCAGTGAATACTAGAATGTTGCTAATCTTGCCCCTGACTAATTTTATTATAGTATTAATCTTATTATGTAAGATGAAATGTGAGCACACATACTTTGATGTCCCTTATCTTCTGTTTCTCAAAATTATCAATGGTTTCCTCTAAGTGCCGAGTTGTTCGAGTCGCATCCAGTGACGCTCTATGCAGTTCATTTTCAGCCTGGTAAAGTAACACAAAGGTGAAATTAGTCTTGCATTTGATACAAAGCTATTTGCTGTAATTGCCATGATTTAAGTCTGAGTTTGCAAAACAATACATATGTGTGTTACAATATTTTAAATCTGTAGCTTAATGAACATATAAAGATGCCTTGGCTAGTGGCCAGTTGTAGCTTAATGAACATATAAAGATGCCTTCTACACTGTTGTGACTTTGATGTGAACCATGAAGAATGACCAGCTGCAGCCAGTCAGGAAAGTCCCTCTGCCTTGATTCATTTTCTGTAATGATCATGGGATAGTTTTACTGAGCCAGTCCTGACATCCCACTGACAACACAGTGACTGGGTTTAGGTACTTAACCCAGCACAGGCCATAGTGGTGGGTGAGCAGGAAAGGTCACCCCTTATTTTCTACTGCAGATCAATCTGCTGGGTCCAGAAAGTTTCTTTTCACTGTAGTGTGCTGAACATTATCTCAGTAAATTTTTACAAATTATTTAAATAAGCAATTATAGCAGCAGCTAGAACTAATGTACTTACCCTGTAAATATCTCAATCTTGCAGGCTAGAGTTACTGTAATTTTTAGATTTAAATGCATTTCAGGTATTTTATGTTTTTAATATTTTTGCATTATTAAAATATATTATTAAAAACATTTTCAGCAGGGCACTGGGAAGGGGACACATCAACCAATTCCTAACACATAAATACACATAAATACACATATCTGTTATACAAAAAGCATTTTAGATAGCTACTTTAATTAGATAGAATTATGAACTTTATAGAAAGATCACTACCATTTCAGGAAAGATATTGAAAATATTCTGATTAAGTCAAGTCTGAGAACTGTGTACTATTACAGTTTCACAATGTACAGCTGTAAGAGCTTGCACTTGAAATCTACAAGATTTGGGTCTAAACTTCTGTTATTTTCCATACATTATTGGTCAAATGTCACACACTAGTGATACTTAGAGGCTCAGTCAGTAAGTATCTTCACAAATCTATTTTGTCATTAGATTTGAAAGTAGTACATGGATCAAATACTGTATCCTATGATCAAGTTGTAAGGTTCTTCCCATTTCTACAAAACTGCAACTTGAGAGCATTTTTTTTTAATGGAAAAAGACAACACAGGTCCAGTTCCTGTGATCTAGCTTTTAGTGTTACATATATAGAAACCTAAGGAATAAGGCATGCTCTGTTCACTTCTTTGACTGTAATCTGCTAACCTTATTTTACAGGATTAGCAATTTGAAACAATCTCCTTTCAAAAACAGCCTGACATCATAGACACAACCCTGCCATTATGGGGCAAACAAAATTGATAATGATCTTTAGTAGTACATAAAGTCATATGTTCATCTCTCTTGATTTTGCCCAAACCACAGGAGGGAAGAAAAGACATTTTGTGTATTTTCAATTACTTCAATCAGTCACTCTGCAAGTGAGGCAGCTATTATGCATATGCAGCCCTTATGCATACAAATACAGTATGTCATTTCTATGATAATCAAATACACCTCCTCAATACATCTTAGATTGGACATAATTTGTCACATATGCTTTGGGAGAGGAATTCTGGTTGTTTTAGAGTGAAGTGTCTCAAGTCACAGAGCCCGCATAGTTTGAACAACAGCAGTTTGGCATCTTCTGAACACTCACCTGTGACTGGAAATATTAGTAAAGGAAAAAAATGGCAATGTAACAAGCAATATTCTACTTTCAATATACTGTGAACTATTTACCTTAATTATTTCAAAGCATCTATGTATTTAGTGCTATTATGTTGTCTGAAGCCTCTGGCTGTAAGATGTAAAGTTTGGTAGAGCTTTGCTAAGAATTCAACTATCCAGGCCAAAACATTTCAGTATAGCTGTCTGTTTTGGACTGAGGGCTTGGTTATTTATTTTTAAAATAATAAAAAGCAGGCAGCCTACAGTTTAGCAGACTTCTTCAGGGAAAAAAAAAATCTATTTTTATTTACAGAAGTGTATTTCTAAAAATCTGGTAATGTTTTCCTTTCAAAGCTGTGCTAACACATCATTTGTAAGATGCAAGTGAGTACAGATTCTTTGCTATCTGTGGCCAAAGTTATTCACTGCTGCAACATCACAGTTGCTCAAGAATAAGAGAACCCCTGCAGGAGCCCAGCTGCTTTGCTCTAATGTGGTAAAGCCTGTCTCAGACCTGAAAGCTGACCTACACACATCCTGAAAAGCAAATGAACACATTCCTGCTCCTAATACCTTTTTATGTGTTTTAAGTGTCAATCTGACCTTTTAAAGTGTCAATCACTTTAAAATGCTAACAGGCAGCATTTGGTGCTTTTGCCATGTGCAGAATCAGACTGTACTGAGATTTTGTAACTCTTGAGGCAAAGCTTTAAGTGTAGAAAACAGGTGTTACAAGAAGCTAAGTCACAGAAGAGTATTTGGGAGAAGCTTAGAAAAGAAACAAGAAGAAGTGAACTAGGTGCCAGTGACATATCCATGAAATGAAATGAAACGGGAATTAGCTCAAGGGAGAAAAATGGGACCAGTCTCCCTTTGGGAAATAAAAACAGCTTATTGTTATAATTTACTGCCTTAATTCCAACAAAAGAGAACTTTGCAACACAGCTCAAATTCTAATCCTGTGGCTGACAAACATCTGTCTTTATTACACATAGAATTCTAATTAGTCATGAACTGATTTAGCTGATTTGATTAATATTAAATGGAAATTCTCTGGCAAATTCAAAAATAAAATGTAATTCTCCTGTGTTCAGTTTGACCAACGCAGACATTTTCACTCTTTCTACAGTCTTATGCCCCAATCACTACAAAGATCCTGAAGATTCTAAAACAGAGTTGATAAAATCCAACCATGAATAGGACTGCTTAACTCCCAAGTCCAACACTAAAATGTAATAAAAAGTAAACAGCACATCATGAACCTAGATCCTGTACCATAATACATAACCATAAAGGGACTGAAGTAGGATGGCCTTGATCCCATTTATTTTGGCATTCCCTAGATTATGACTGCTTCAAAATTTGAAACTTCTGTAAGATTTTAATGGAAATTCTAATTCAGTTTGATGGAGGCTTAATTTTTCCCACTGTGATACAGAATAGTATACTGGGGAGGGTGACTGGTCTTTGGAAATGAAGAGCAGTCTAGCTGAACATTCTACTAGCAGAATAACAACTTATCCTTTCATACAGCTGGAGGAAACTTATATCCCATCTAGGTACCAGGAAGCACAATATAACCAAAATGGCAGGTAGAAAAACAATAACTCCACAGCAATAAAAAATAGACTGTGTGATTACACTTACTTTCAAAAACTTCCAAATTCCTGGATGTAATCTATGCCTACCTCTCTTGCATAAACATATCAAATAATTCATAGTTTCTTTTCAATTCAAAAGTGATTAACTACTGCTCTGTAGCAACTGTAATTAAGTTTAAGAAAAGATTCAGCATTGGAAACAGTTCCTCTAAGGAGCATTATTGTTATTACTACTTCCTAAACATAACAGTTTAATTCCCAAGAAATTGTAAAAATCTTTCTCCTAGTGACTAGAATCGCAGGATACGATAACGTGCAGATCTGACGGATTCCGCTGACGTGTCTTTTCCAGCTGAGATAATTGCTTGGCTTCTCGGTTCTTGGCTGTTAAAGTTGCTCTAAGATCATCCTGGAAATAAATGTTATAGACATGTTTGAAATACATCTCAGGTAATACAAAATATGCTCTCCTTCATACATGCATTGCCTAGAAAACATGGACAAAACTTCTGCTTCAAATAAAAACAGATTTTAGTGATCTGTCAATTGATCCTATGAAAGAGAAGTCAGTGGGGACTGAGAGAGTTTAGCACCTTGTGCAACTCCCTATAGCACATGTTATGATTGAAAATGTGGGGAAGGAAAGAAAAAGATATTCACAGCTTTATATGAAAAGTATAGCAGATGGTCACAAGCTGAGATCCCCAGAGTGCTAAGAAGGCAGAATAATTTCTGACTTAGCAATAAAATAAAACAAAATGTTGTACTTAGAAATAAAAAGCAGCATCAAATAAAGGGGCATCATTAAAAAAAAAAAAAAAAAAGCAGGCAGCAGTCAGTACCAAGGAGAAGTTATGAAGAAAATATAACTGCTGTCACCTGTCCACTGCCACCTGCTGTCACTGCTGACAGTGGAGCTGCTGAAGGGGCTGGAGCAGAAGTCTGATGAGGAGTGGCTGAGGGAGCTGGGAGTGTTTAGCCTGGAGAAGGCTCAGGGGGAACCTTACTGCTCTCTACAGCTCCCTGAAAGGAGGCTGTAGCCAGGTGTGGGTCAGTCTCTTCTCCCAGGCAAGCAGTGACAGGATGAGGACATAATAAGCTGCACCAGGGGAAGTTTAAATGAAACATTAAGTAATTTTTTTCCACAGGAAGGGTGGTCAGGCATTGGAATAACCTGCCCAGGGAAATGATGGAATCACCACTCTGGAAGTGTTCAAAAAAGGTGTAAATTTGGCACTCGGGGACAGTTTCCAGGTGAACATGGTGGTGCTGGGCTAATGGTTGGACTCAATGATCACAGAAGTCTTTTTCAACCTAAACAATTCTGTGCCACAGGGTACCATAGGAACTGTATGGCTGAAAGGGTTAAAGTGCATATTTTTATATATATATGCATTTAATAAAGTGTTTAAAACCATTTGAAACAAAATACATCCAAGTAATGATGGAGCTGAAGATAAAACTCAATTGATCTAGAAAGGGCAGAAACTGTTGACAACTGTTTCTGCTCCATTTCCAAAAGAGAAGTAGTATGTACTTCTAGGAAGACCTGTAACAATTTAAGAATGTTCATCTACCAGTTTTCTCAATTTTTTTCATGTTATAAAACTGTTTTGCAAACTGTTTGACATTACTGGAATGTAGGATTATCAGTCAAGTATTTATCATTCCACTGATGCTGGTGTGGAGAAGGTCACTCATTTTGATGGTTCCAGTTTAAAGGAGCAGTAGTTTAGAACAAGCAGAAATACAGTCTGAAGTCTAACAAAATCTGAGGTAGGATTGGGCATGCATTTCAAATGACCTTTTACTCCAAAATACCACTTCCACTTTTATTTGCCACTCCAGAAAGGAGTTAAAGCTATTAGAAGCTATCATATTGGGAAATTGTCTGTGCTCCTTCCTTGGATTTCACAATTTTAATGCTTGTATGTTGCCATGGCAGAAGGATATGCAACTAAGAGTATGTCTTTCAGTAAGTTTTGTGATCCTGTGACCAGATCACTACTCAGTGACAAGCACAAGATTGCCAAGTTTCACAGGGCTGTGTGTTCCTTCAATAACGAGGCTGCACATGAGGACAGGGTCAAAACATCCAGTTTCTTCCTTGTTTCTATCCTTACTATCTGTATATCCTTGTATATAACTGTCATTTTGCTTCATCTCCAGGGACACAGAGCTGGCTTCTGATAATAAAAACTACTTCATCTTCAGCCCATCAGTGCAGGTTTTACTGCTGTTCTTTCAGAATTTACACAACCTCTAAGGTCAAAGTATACTGAAAAGGCCTTTTGCTTTTATGAGAACCATGTGGCTACAAGAAAAGCAATGATAGAAGTTTTTAAATTGTTTTTCCAGTTTTAAATTTTAAAGGTAGAGAAAGAGAAAAGAACATATTTGTTTTGAAACAACAAAGTTTTCCATCTAATGGTCACAGCTGCATGGTTAGTGCTATTTAATGACTGAGTCCCATTAATAGCACTGACCTTCTAGGCCAATTTAAAACAGTCAATCAGATTTAACACTGTGGCTTGAAAGGGTGCTGACTTTCACACAAAGTGTACCTGAGGATGCAAAGTTCTAGTTACCATTATTAAATTCAGTACTTTCTTTCTAGCATGTAGTGACTTTGGAAATACCTACAGGGACTGAACTGTTCTCTCCTCTACCTCTGTTTTCTGTAGCAGCAGCCACCACCAAACATACTTCTCTCCTAGCTGAAGTGTGACAAAGAATTAGTGCTACCATGGTCGTAGTGGTGAAGCTCTGTACAAGTTTTGGATGTACAAAAGTAGGGCACAGTTACATACATACTTTGTCCAAGAGAAGGGTGCAGAAAAAAACCCAATAAAAATATTAAAAAGCTGGGGAAAATGTAATTTATGGTGAAAGAATCAAGGTGTACATTACCTAAGAGGAAAAAAAAAGAAAAATTTGTTTTACTAGCATCTAAATACCTTCATCCAGAAAAAAACCCACAGCATTACAGAGCTCTTTCATCTCAGTGGAGCATGTAACAAGAACCAAAGATTAGGTGAAGTCTTTCAATTAAAACAAAACACCACTAACATCAACTAACCACTAACTACCACCAACAGTCATACATTCACCTCCAGTGTCTTTAGACCAAGCTTTGATGTGTTTTTGGAAAATATGCTTTAGTTACACTCTAAAAGTGGAATGGAATAGGCAATGAGATAAAAGGTACAATGAATATAAAATTATTCACAGTCCCTCTAGGTTTTAACTATGAATTCAAGTCACACATAAGAACTCTGGTCACCCATCTATTTTCAAATCATACAGAAGTACAGCTATAGTTCATCCACCAGACAATGAGCTGGCAGAGCCTCATCACTGTACTGTTACCTGCTTCAGTCACTGAAGTTATTAAAGCAAATCAATCCTTTCTTCTGCACGTGGATCACTTTGGTTTTATGATGTCCTGTTTTACATGAAGGAAAGGAACCAGGAACAGAGTTGCCAAAAAGCAGAAAAGTGAAGATTGATATATAGAACAATGAAACAGAAAGAAATCCTCATATCCTACATTTAAGCTGTGTTACAGGACAAGAATATTGTTTTAGCTTCCACTGAAGCTATTCAGCAATGTAAACCAGAACAAGTGAATCAAACAATTTTACTGCATTAACAGACAAAGGACAACACTACTCTGATAGACCTGAGCCTCTTTAGTGCATTTAGTAGCACAGAAATTGATGTCTTACAACACAGAAAAAGCAAGTTGTTTTTAGATAAAACACAGAAACAGTGCTGTGTACTTTCTGGAACAGATCCAGTAAGTAAGCAGCAGCGAGAACATCCCCTTTAGAGAAAGAAGCTGTAATGACATACTCTGCCTGATTCTACTTAGTCAGCTAATGTAGTCACAGCTAAAGCAGTCCTAGAGGTAGCAGCTTGTGCTAGATTTACAGGAGTGACCAAATTTCCTTTGTCACTAAATATGTCCCAGTGATTACAGACGATAACTGAAGACCAGGTAGTTGAAGTTTTAACCAAGGTTTATGGTCAACGTGCAATGGGAAAAAAATAACCATTTAATCTAAATCTTTAGTGAACTCTGTCTTAGTTCAAAGGTAAACTGGAAAAATAATTGACCTCATCTACGGTTTAAAAATGCTCTTGTACTCTTCACTGTAGCTAAAACACACATTATGAAACACTTTCTGACATTCTGAAAGGCAAAGACCACAGGAAATTCAATTCACTGTTGCAAGCAATGACTTGGTTTCAGTTGCTTCTGTCCTCAGTATTACTGGCTATCAGTGGCAGTGCACCTCAAGACAGTCTCTTCAATGCTTTGGAAGCCCCAGGCATTGCTGAAATGCTTTGTGTTTCTTCAGCAACCCTACTGCCACAAACACATGAAACTTGTCCACCCCCAGCATTTATACCCTACAAAGTACTCAGTTCCAGATCTCACAAACTTGTGACCATTAAGATACCAGGTTTTAGGCACTACAGTCTATAGCTCTGCTAAGGACTACTGTGGGCAGTCCTACTCAAGTGTAGGATGCATTTCCTTCACAATCGTTTCTCTAACCACCAAGTGAGGTAACTGTGCAGTAAGTCACAAACAGTACTTGGTTCTTCACCGTATGGAAAAAAAAAAACCACAAAAAACCCCACAGGACAACTGCTTGCTTGAGATGCAGTGCCACAATCTATTCAAATTAATCATGATGAATACACTACAAGATTTTTGTTTTGGTATTTTTGTAAAATACCATCAGATAATAATAATAATTAAAGCTTTTGATTTATGTAGATTATGGTACACACATATACATCAATTACAGATTTGAGTTTGCAGGATTAAGGTATTCTCTGTAAAAGATACAAGTATTATGAAGATCTACTTTTCGTATCGGCTTATTAACAATTCCTTAATCAAGCTTATCTTTCCTGGAGGAAAGAAACTTACAGGTATTTTAAGGGAATATTTCAAACCTCTCTAAACATTGTTTTGAAAAATAGTGAATGATGAGACCTAAGATTTTTGTGTATCCTCAGGTCATTACAATGACTTAACAGAGAGGGATTTAGGCACTACCTACTTATGAACTTCAAATGTGTTTTCCAAGTTATGAACTTTAATGTAGAACATAATTCTGAGTTAGAAAAGCTGTTAAAGGCAGCATATTGATGACTAAGTGCCAAAGCAGTAATAATAATAATAATACTAGTAATAATAATATCATCACCATCATAATCAAAATCACACAATAATAAATGACATTATTTACAAATAAAAAGTCCTGAATTTACACTATTTACACTATCTAGGAAATGTCATACTAATGCCTTTTCTAAGCATTTGTTTGTGCTTGAAGAGACTGAATATCCTTGTCTTCATATCAAAGCTCTTTCCTCCACCATATATATAGCTTCATTTTAGATGTCCAACTATATAATTAAGTTAAACTGCTTACTGAAGTATGAAAAATCAGAACCATTTTCTCCATAAACAAAAAGTTTTCAACTGAGAGGCCAGGACACGGAAATGTACCTTGTGAGAAAACACATGTTTAACCTACCCTTTTAAGTTTCACTATGGTCCCATAACATTTCAGAGGTTCGACAACCTTGGCTTCCAGCCTGTCAACCTACAAAAAGAAATCACAAGGTTGCTAAAATCATCCATATCCACGGTGTGCAGAAATAGGAAACAATTATTTTAATGGTGACTCATCTTATTACAAATTAAATCCATATATGCTGAAAAAAATATTAAGATAAGGGTTTTAAAAATTTTGTAAAAGCTACAGTCAAGTACATTAACCAAGAAGGAATTTGTTTTCTGAAGAGCTCAAACTGATTTCTAGTGGAATTCCTTTTTTCTTAATTACATTGGGATAAATGAAAATGCTCATGGAAAATCATGAATACATCAAACTGAATACTAAATATATCCAGCATTGCCTCTTGGAGTTCTGTAGCTTTCTATCTAAAGATCAGTGTATTTGCTCTACACTTACTGATAAGGTTACATACTAAGCAATCTTTGCTATCAAATACACTGTGCAAAATGGAACTCTTCTTAAAAATGATGGAAACAGCATCACTGGTACTGAGTGCACTACAAATACCAATAACAGGGTATGTAAAATGCACAAATGCTCTCACAGATGAGTGGTTCTGAATTTTTGTTTCAGTTCTCCTCATCAGAAAAACAGCTACATATGGTCAGACAGGCAATAGGATAAGACCTGCTTGTCAAATCTGACAAAACTGTCTGAGTGGCTCCAGCATAATCTGCCAATGACTTATGGACCATGAGTGAGTCCTGTGGCCCATTGCTGCTACATCCAGATTAGGACAAGGTTAATACCTCTGCTGGGAAGGGACAGTTCCCCCTATATTGGTAGTCACCAGTCAGCCAAAATCTATGTCAGCTGAGCAAACATTACTCCTTGATACCATCTACCACTGCGCTGTCAAACAATTTCACTTAACTGCCAATAGAATAGAAAGGAATAGGCCAGTAAGGCTCTAAACAACAGTTATTGCAGAAGAACCAAATAGCCTGGCCACCTTACTTACTTACCCTACCACGTGTTGTGGTACCTCACACCTCACTATTTATATATCCAGCACTGCAGCTAAAGACCAGAAATTGATAATCCTTATAAGCTAATTTTTTCTTGCCCTCTCTGTCAGCATACAGGGAAACTGTTAACTGACTTGATGCCCAGAAGAAACAAAGCTGAGATAATATATTTTGTTTTCAGGAGCAAAGGAGAACTTGATTTAAAGACTAAAAGCTACTATTTTCCTTTGCTGCTTCTGCCTTTTTTCTTTCACAGGGCAATGTTGGTTTACAGACAGCCATGGCAGGAGGATGTAGGCCAAACATCAATTTTTTAAAACACATTTAAAATCAACAAAAGCAAAACTCAAGTTGTTACATATGTACCTCAAAATTACAGGTTCACAGTTTAATGATGAAAACAGAGAGATCATGCAGTCTGAGTTCACATTCACCTTTGGCCACAATATAAATGTAATAGCAGAGGATAATTTGCTATTACATCAATTGAAGCATAAGGACCTACATGGGGCTCAGCTGGAGCTAGACATATAAGAGCTTATGGAAAAATAAAAATCACACACACCCTAAGGTTTCTTATTACTTCTTAAAAATCCCTCCCTAAACAGACTGTTAAAGATCCACAATATTCCTTGCATTTCAAATGCTCTGCTTCCTATATTAAGTACTTTTAAAAGGTTTTCTTTTTCCACTTTGTTATTATGAAAAGGTGACTTGCAGTGCTCTCCAAAATAAAAAAGTCCTATCTGAAGACATAAAGAATGTCAACTACTTCAGTCTCTTTTTAAAATTATAGTGGATCTCAGCTGTTCAAAACTATAAAGGGGAATTTTCTATGTTCTACTTAAAGAATAGATACATACTCCAAAAACTTGTTTGAGTACTGGTCATTCATGTGAATGAATTTTTTTAATCTCAGTATTTGGAATTCTGTATGTTACAGTTTGACTGGCACCACACATAAATGTGCAAGTGGAATAAAGACCTTTCTTTGCACTCTCACTCATCTAGCAGAAATGTGACTATATAGTCACATATGGTCCAAATCAAGTTTGTACTTTTAATGCTGAACTACAAACTTATGAAATCTACAGTGGTCCCTGACAATACCCCTTCAATACTATTTCTGATAATGCTCAGCAAAAGGAAAATGACTGATTTTGCCTCAGCTGCTGCTAGACAACTCAAGTCAACAACCAAAAAAGAACACTTTATTAACCATAAATCATAATCTAACACCAATAAAAAAAACCTTGCTCTTTCTCAAATACTTCAAGTGTTCATATGGATAGTTTTCCTGACTTCAACAGTACTAATTTTAGGCAGTTTTCCCTGAAGTGATTAGGAGTGTAAATGATGAATGCTTTGGCAGCCTACCCTGCTCAGACATTAATATATAGACATGTTTTCTCCTGTTTCTCTTCTGATTGCAGAGTATATGATTTCCTTTTTAATCACAGATAAGTAACTGAAAAGTTCAGATGGCAAACACAACATGTACAGCTTTAATTTTGTACCTCTGCCTGGCGATAATCTTGAAGTCTGGAGAATTCATCTGCAAAGTTTTTCAGTCCAACTTTCAAGTTTGGTGTCTCTGTAGCTGCATATGCATATATTTCATTTACCAGAAGATCTGCTTTGTCTCGTAGTCTGGCAGTTTTACGTACATATCCAGCAAATATTTGGCACAATTCACCGAAATGTTTTTCCACATTTGAAACAGCATCTTGCATTTGTCTAGTCTGATTGTCCCTAGATACCAAAGAAAAATAAGTGAAAAATAAGAAAGGCAGAAATGTTTACAACACATATAGAAGAAAAACTATATAATTATACTATTAATAATTTAGATATCTCATCTCAGTGCAAAGCAGAAATTTATTCTGAAAAAGAGAATGTTGTAACTGATGTAATATGTGCTTATTTATGAATGAATAACAAACAAACAAAAAAGCAAATTTACACTTAAAGATCCAATAGACGAAAACCAAATCGCAAAAATCTGCTTGGAAGTTCTCCTCTTGCATTTAAGCAAAAGCTCAATATTACTAAATGGCATGAGTTACTAACACAGTGGTAACTCCTACAGTCTCAAACAAGACTTCTGCAAGACCACCTTCCTGCTGCAGCCTGCAATCTAAGCAGGCAAGGCAGTGGCTGGAGAAATTAGGCAGTAGAGGACAAACTGCTAAAGGTATTAAATGTTCTTTAAATTGCAAACAATCATTAAACTGCACTACAGAGTATAAATACCACCAATAATTAAAGAAGAAAGGTGAATGGACATAAGAGATGAAAACCGTAATACCACTGAAAGAACATCCATCACACTAATAAACAGCTTTCTTTCAAACTATATAAATCTAATTAATTTATTTCATCGAATGCCTGTATGTTTCATTATTAATGAATTAGATAAGTCATTCCAGTATCTCACAGATTTCACTTCGTATTTTGCTTTCCTATTCCTATATTATTTGATGGTCATGTGAACTCATGCCCATTGTTGATCTGAGTGAACCAGCTGTAAGACAGTTCAGCTAACAGTGCCTGCCAGATTCTGGGTCCTCAGAAGTCTCCATGATCCAACAGAAGGTTATTGATGTCAAGTGATGAATTTTCTGCAAGACAATTCACTCCTACCACTATCTTGGCACAGGACAGAAACAAAAACTTCCTTCATATCCGTAAGGTATCCCAATACTGCTGACCAATACTGAAATGCTGACTTTGTATCAGGATATATGATGATGAGAAAAACTGGAAGAAATGTGGTACTTTGAGACTAAACAACAATACAATCAATTCAAATGAGAAACACCTTTACTTCAGGAAAGGTATTTCATGCCAAAGTTCTGCCTTAGGAAAAACCCAGTTGGGTTGCTTCACAGCAAGCTGTTCAAAACAGATTCCGTTAAGGTTAAAAAAAACCCAAGGAAGTTATGCAGTCCTCCAGGACATGCTGGAGCACAGAACCACTTGAATAGGGACAGTTTCACCTGGTGGGTGAGTAGGCAAGTAAGAATTTCATTAAGTACTAATAAAGCTCTTTTTCAAAATTATATTACCTGACAAGATCTTCAGGAAAAGGTATATATTTCCTATTTTCTTGAAAGATCATATCAAAAAGTGTTTCCCTCCAGGAGGAAGACGTAATCACCCACTTTACAATTCAGATCTTACAGTACATTCATGCAACTAGTATTTCATTTTGGGACGCAAAACACTACGTGTTCTTATATGGGGATGTAAAAGTTTTCATTCCCCCCCTAATTATCGCGACCGCTTAGAACTCTCCACAGAATTATTCGCGAGAGGTCCAAATAAATACCGGCAGCACGTCTTTACTCCATCTCTGCACAGCACACTAGGCCTGGAAAAGTTTTGCGGCCTTTACCGGAGGAAGGCAGCGGCGGCCCCATCTCCCGAGGAGGCAGACGCGCCGGGAAGGAGCGGGCCCGCATCGCTCCCCGACCCCCGCGCCCTCCCGGCCGCGCTGCGGGCAGCGGGGCCTCCTCCCCCGCAGCAGCCCGGGGCTCCCGGCCCCCGCGGCCCCGTACCTGGCGTCCAGCCCGCGGCCCAGCAGCATCATGGTGGCGATTGCGGCGGCGGCCGGCGGGAAGCAGGGAAGCAGGGAAGGAGGGCGGCGCTCCGCGTGCGCTCCGTTTCCATGGACACCCGGCCCGGCCCGCCCCTCGGCCTGCGGGACGGGCCGCGGCAGCTCCGCGGCCGGCAGGCGCTGTGGGGCGAGCGCAGCCCCCGAAAGGCGGAGTCTGGGCGGTGCGAAAGGAGCGCTGAGATCAGCGAGTCCAACCTGCGACCGAGCACCGAACACATGGCTCTGAGTGCCGCGTCTGGTCTTAAACACCTCCAGGGACGGTGACTGCACCACCTCCCTGGGCAGCCTGTTCCAGGGCCTAATCACCCCTTCTGTGAAGAAATTCCTCCTTATGTCCAACATAAACCTCCCCTGTGCAGCTTAAGACTATGTCTTCTTGTGCTATCAGTTGTTACCCGGTAGAAGAGGCCGACCTTTTCCTGGCTGCAGCCGCCTTTCAGGGAGCTGTCCAGAGCGATAAGGTCCCCGTGAGCTCCATTTCTCCAGGATAAACGCCTCCAGCTCCCTCAGCCTCTCCCCACTGGACCTGTGCTCCACACCCTTCCCCAGCTCTGTTGCCCTTCTCTGGACACGCTCCAACCCCTCAATGGCCTTCTTGTACTGAGGGTCCCAGAACTGGACACAGCACTCAAGATGTGGCCTCACCAGCGCAGAGTCCCGGGGGACAATCTGTGCCCTGGTCACACTATTTCTGAAACAGGCCAGGATGGTGTGGCCTCACCAGCGCAGAGTCCCGGGGGACAATCCGTGCCCTGGTCCTGCTGGCCACACTATTTCTGAAACAGGCCAGGATGCCATTTGCCTTCTTGCCCACCTGGGCACACCCTGGCTCATGTTCAGCCACTGGCAACCAGCCCCCAGGTCCATTCCCAGGGGGCAGCTTTTCAGCCCCTCTTCCCCCAGCCTGTAGCACTGCAGGGCGGGTCCATTCCCAGGGGGCAGCTTTTCAGCCCCTCTTCCCCCAGCCTGCAGCACTGCAGGGCATTGTTGTGACCCAGGTACAGGACCTGCCATTTTGCCTTGTTGAACCTCATACAGGCAGTTTTGGCCTTGTCGAACCTCATACAGGCAGTTTTGGCCCATTGATCCAGTCTGTCCAGGTCCCTCTGCATCCCATTCTTTCAACACTCCTGCCCGAGTTGCTGTCATCTGCAAATTTATTAAGGGTGCATTTATTAAGGACCCTCATCCAGGTCATCATTAAAGATGCTGACTAGGACTGGGACCAACACTGATCCCTGGGTGACACAAGCAGTGACTCGTGCTCCCCACACATGAGCCCACCCAAAGGCAGGGGCAGGGTCTGTTCAAGGACAAGCGCAGTGTCAAGGCCTGGGCTGGTACAGGAGCAGACAGCCAGAAAGCTCAAGCCTCTCCCATTACCCCAAAAAAACCAAAACAACCAACCAATCAACAAACCAACCAACCAACCAAAAAAAACCCCACCAAAACCAAACAACAACAACAACAAAACAAAACAAAAAAAACCAAACCACCCCCAAAAAAACCAAAACAAATTTCAAAAAGGCCAACTTGTCTTCACCTAAGGGAGAGCTGTTGAGGTTGGACAGCCATGGGAAAATCCCATGGAGCACTAGAAAAGATCTTTAAAAAAAGTAGAACAAGACAAAACCAAATGGAACCGAAAACATAAAAAAACCCCTAACTCCCTCTCTGTAGTGGTAACGTATTGGGAATGTGGCTTCAGGATTGTGTGGCCATGATCCTGTCAGAGTCCCTGCACATACTGTCTGAGATTAATGCAGAAAAGAGTCTTAAAGCAGGAGAGTGGCAATTGTGCTGTGTCCAACAGAAACCCCTCTGATTTGGTTACAGTGGTCCATGAGAGCTAAGGACTCGGACAACTGGCAGCATGCTGGCACAGAGGTGCATGGCAACAACTTCATGCAGATAGCAAACTTTAATTTCCAACTAAAATCAATGGCCAAAAGTAATGAACAAGGTGCTTCTATGAGATGCTTCTATGGCATTTAGCAGGTTACAGGTTTGGTGTTGGGATTATGTTACTGCACAAAATTGTACATGTGCATACACAGACATACATACACACACAAAGAGGCCTCTCACTCAAGGGTACCCAGGAGATCTAAGGGTCAAAGGATCATTCAGGCATATCCAGTCCAAAAATAGTCACTGCTATGGGAGAGAGTGGTCAAGGGCACTCAGACCAGGGAAGTCTCCTTGGATGGAGAAATGGTGCAGAAATGTCTCTGCCTTGTTGGCTGGGGACCCTGTCTGTGGACCAAGGGGTTCTGCCTCTTCCCAATCCCACCTTGGGTCCTGAAATGTTGGTTGTCCCCATGTGTCAGCCAGGGAGAAGGTGAGTGCTACTACCACACATGTATGAAAAAAACTTTATAGGCTTGCATGACCATGTGAATAGAAACTGATTTAGTTAAAATTTGGTTTTTAACTTTTCATCTTGGTTTTTCTCTTGAAAGTAGATAATTCAGATCACTTCAATGAAAACTTTAATTCACATAAAGCAAAATATTGAGGATTAATATTTGAGGATTAAATCCTCAAATAATGAGGATTTAATTAGTGCTTTGGACCAACTTAAGCTAAACAAAATTTTGCCAATTTTTCTTAAGGCAAGTTTGTGGAACCAGTGGTAAAACTCACTCCAAAGGTTTGCAGCCTTTAAGGACTTGGTAGGCTAATATCTCTAAATGGAAGATGTCTTTCAGAGGATATAAGGGTGAGATCACAGCTGTTACCTGGAAGTCTGACTTTCTCAACTGCAGGCCTGAGAGGAGAGGCTTCAATGTTTATTGTTGAATCTATCACTATTAATAATCTAATAAATCAGCTAAATGACGTACCAAATAATAATATCATTATTATTACTGTGCAATCCTGTAGTTCCACACACTGCAGCAAGATCCGAGTTTATCACTTTTGGATCTTATTCATTACACACAACTACCACTGAATTACAACTCTCTCACCCCTCTCTTGACTGTGCCACACTGCTTGTTATTAAGGTCCAGTACAATCCATCTCTGGATGGATTTTTTGAGGAAGATTTTTCCCCAAATTCTCCTTCAGTTATGTAGTTTCTGCTGTCTGCATGTTGTTTATATGGCACACTTTCTGAGACATACTATTACATTTTATTCCTTCCTTCACATAACTCCATTTACATCTAAGCACTTTATCCTATATGCAGACAATTGACATATCAGAGCAAGGCTTATCCTCTTAATTTACTTTTTTTCTCACTATTTTTGTGCTCAGAAGGCATCCTGCTCTCAAGTGCTTGATTACAAGTCATTGCCCTTGAGATGTTCTTTGGACAATCTCCTGGTCTTCTGAGGTAGTCTTGTCTTTTCACAAGGATCTGTACTCCAGCAGAACCTCCCACTCACAAATTTTAAGAGCTCTGAAAGTTGAAAACATCTAGTCTATTACTTAGGGCATGTTTGGACTTCATCACCCAGGAATGGTCAAGCAAAGCAAGTTCCAGAATGCCGAGAAATTCTTAATAAATAGCAGAATGGTGCTATATGAGGTACTATACAAACAGTAAAAAGAAGTACAACTCTATTTGCTTCAAATTATGGGTCAATGAGAAACAGAAACTGCCACTTAATGAGAGGCTAAAAGACTGAAAATAAGGAAAAGTTACTTTTGGTTAAAGTTCAAGAAGTACTTGTCATTGGAGTAAGACATGAAAGAGGAATCACAGCTCATCTTCAGTTATTGCAAACAAATTCTGCTTCAGTCCTGAATCATAGTACTTGGCATAGACATTAAAAAACTTAATTTATATATGCTGATTTCACACATGGTTTGACTTAGTAGTTCTTAATATGATGCTGTAGATAGTCCTGGAATATATGGCCCACCAGCTCCAGCTGCACATAGAAAGTTGAAAATAATGTCATGAGGGCCTGTTGAAATTTTGAGTCATCAGAGTGTACAAGAACACAAGCTGCATAAATCATGGAGTGGAAAAATATTTTTGTACGATGATTTAGAAATAATTACGGAGAATTATGTTGAAAGTAATGCCAAATTTCCTGCTCATTACCTCTAAGTAAGTTTCCAGAATAACATACTAAAGATGATGACATCTTATAAATGACAAATTCTGCAGATAAGAAAGCTCTGAAATATCCAGTTGACAGTGTTTTCCAATATTCCTCCAGAGGATAAGCAACAGACTCCTCCTGACTTAAATCAGCTTGAGTAAATTCTCTGTACTGGTTTATTGAACAACAGTATGTAACTCCAGCAGTTCAGCAGCAGTGAAGAATTGCCTGTCATTACTGCATAGAAAAAACAGGCTATGCATAAGTCTGTGGAAACTTCAGAAACATTCACTGGGATAGAATTTCTTCCATCATATTTAGGGAATGCCTTAGCCATTACTAAGGTAAAGCCATATTTCTGGTTTGGAATTTAATCAGTGAAAGCCGTACTTCTGGTTTGGAATTTAGTCAATGAGTGTGTTCTAGATTTATGTAAAATAACAACAGAATGTTCAGTCAACTTTTGTTTTGGCTAACTGATGTTGATTTATATGTTATAGTAATTACAGAGTGATCCATACAGGTCCAGAGGTTCATCTGTGCACTGTGGTTGATTAAGTCTGTATGTATTGATGAGCTGCCTATATATTCATGTTACTACTTCTTTTCTCAGAGTGTGTTCATAAATTTAAAATATTTTTTTGCAATCTTTAAACTTTTTATATAACATTCCATTTTTCTGTTCACCTATGCTATCAATTCTTATTATATGTAATGAAAATGTAATGAACCACTATAGACCTTGAATATCAAACAACATTATTTTTAGCAGAGGAGTTTAGCTCCTAGTGGATTTGGCATTATATGGATTTAATAATTTCAAGGGTTTTCTCCTGTAACCATTTTCCTCTTTGTGCTATTTGACTTCTTTGGGCCTGCAGCTCCCTTACTTAATGCAGGAACTAGAGCACCTTTTATTCCTAGCTCTGTGTTTTCTCAGGAACAAGAGGCAGCTTTTGGGAAGCATACTTCTCTGATGCACAAGCTTCCAATACCAAGTTTCAGATATCTTAATTAAATATCAGTTAGTTTGTTAGAGAA